AGTGTCATGGAGTGTTTCTGTCCATGGTCTCTAGCAGCAAGGACAATAGCTTTGAAAGCCCATTTCCACTGGGTGTGACGCTGTAGTGGCTCCCGTGGGTGGATCAATTGAGGTCATTGCCAAAGTAGAAACAGCAGACTGCCTTTGGCTCACAAACAGCTGCAACCTGAGGCTGGACCCCTGGGTGACTTGCTCACTTCAGCCCAGGGTGACCAGCACCCCAACAGTCCTCTGGGTGGTCTTGCCTAGTTTCTTAGACCTCAGTCACTCCCATCAGCATCAGGGACCTGGAGCCCAGATGGGCATAGACTAAGACCCTGGCTGTACCTTCTACCACAGACAGGATGTCTCTCTATCCCTCCACACAGTTTCTGAGCTCAGGTCCCTAGAAGCAGGCTCTGTGTTCGCAGATCTCCGGGGCCTGAGCTCTGGGTGCGATCACGTGCCCTGGTGAAGGACAGAGAGCTTAGAGAAGCAGGGGAGGTTCTCAAGACGGTACAAGTGGGGAAGGAAGGCTTCCGTTGGCGTCCACCCTTGAGCGGACCTCAACCCGCAGTAGGGCTTGTAGAGACTGGGAGCCTCGGCCTGAGAGGACTAAGCTGCAGTGGAGACCATGGGTAACAGGTCAGGACACTGGCAGGAGGGCAAACGCACAGAAGGCTCCTGCAAGCTCCTCTGGGCACGAGAAGGGGGAGGCTTGCACACACCTGTGCCCTTGGGGACAGAGGGCATCTAGGCTGGGCAGCATTGCAAGCTGACTCTTCAGGCCTGGAGATCAGGCCCAATGGAGTTCTAACAAGTGTGTGTGTGGGGTCTCTCTCTGGTCACATTTGCACTTTATTTTTTACTTTTATTTATTTATTTTGGTTTTTCAAGACAAGGTTTCTCTATGTAGCCTTAGCTGTCCTGGAACTCTCTTGGTAGACCAGGCTGGCCTCGAACTCACAGAGATCCACTTGCCTCTGCCTCCTGAGTGCTGGGGTTAAAGGCATGCACTGCCACCACCCAGCTTCATTTTGTTTTAATGTATCGCTGTCTCTCTGTCCTCCCACCCCATGTGTGTGTGTGTGTGCGTGTGTGTGTGTGTGTGTGTGTGTGTGTGTGTGTGTGTGTGTGTGTAACTGTAGGCAGTTACATAGAGACCAGAAGGGGTTGTTGGAGCCCCTGGGAGCTGGGAACTGACCTGGGATCCTCTATAATGCCAGCAAATATTCTTATCCAAGGAGCCACCTCTCCAGTCTTTTGTTTATTTATATTTTTATTGTATTTGTATGAATGTTTTATTTGCATGTATGTATGTGCATCATGTGCACATAGCGCCAATGGAGGCCAGAAAAGTGTGTTGGATTCACTGGAACTGGAATTAGAGACAGCTGTGAACCACATGGGTGCTGGGACCTGAATCCAGGTCCTCTGCAAGAACACTAAGTGCTCTCAACTGCTGAACCATTTTATTTATTTTGAGACAACATAGCTTCAACTGACCCATAGTCATTGTGTAGCTCAGTCTGGCCTTAAACTCCATGCAATCCTCCTGCCTCAGCCTCTTGAGGGGGGCATACTGGGATAACAGGTATGAGCCACTACACTCCATGCATTTGCAATGTAAAAGGGCACCTTGTGAAAAGAAGCTCCCAAGCCAGAAGTCCAGAGCATAGCTCTTGTCTCCTGTGACCATCACATGTGCCCCTCTCTGCTTGATGTCCTGCTCTGAAAAGAATCTGGTCCTGGCCTGAGCAGTAGCTACCTCCCGTTCCTCTGTTCTGGCACTGTGATAAAGTATCATGGAAAAAAAGTAACTTCGGGGAGAAAGGGTTTATTTTAGCTCACTACTCCAGGTGATAATCCATCATTTCAGGGCAACAGGAACTTGGAACAGCTGATCACATCGAGTCAAGAGTCGGAGAAATGAATGCATGCATACTCGCTCGCTTGTGTTTAGCTCAGTTTTTTTCATTCTTACACAGTTCAGGACCAACATCCGCTGTGCCTAGGGACTGGTGCCACCCACAGTGGGCTGGGTCTTCCCACATCAATTAACTTAATTAAGACAATCCCCTGCCAATATACCCACAGGCCAACCCAATGCAGACAATCCTTTATTGAGACTCTGTTCCCAGGGGATTCTAGCTTGTAACAACTAACCACATGAACAACTAACACACAGCCACACCCTACCCCGTTGTCAAGCCCACATTCTGGATTTTGTTCCCCAGTAGCATTGAGAATTGCACAACTGGGAACTCCACAAGGAGGAGGAGAGTCCTGTGACATCCTTAAGGACTCTGGGCACCGTTGGCCATGTGTGGCTCAGCATGGCCATTTGCTGTCCCTGTGACACTCAGCATCCTGAAGTGGTTTTTCTTTTCATCCTTCTCTCTGGGTTCAAGTGTTGGGGCTTAGATAAAAAGGTGACTGTTAAGGTGGAGGGCCTGACTATGCTGAGGACCCCCCCCCCCCCCAGTTCTGACAGGCCTACACAAGGGAGTAGTAACTAGGAGAGTACTAGCTAAAAGTCTGGAATGCCTGGGCTCAAACCTGAGTCTGGAATGGAGCTTAGGGGGCCTGGGTGAAAGGCTGAGCAGTAAGTAGGTGTGGGCGATGGGCCCCATTCCTGGTGCTCTCAGACCTGCCCTACTTGTCCCTCACTCTGATGGTGGTCTAGTAGAGGGTCAGGGTTGGCAAGAGGACTCAGTCCTCAGGAAGAGAGTCTACTCTACTCCCTTGAGAGCAGAGTGGCCATGGGTGTCTGGACCTCAGCTGGGCTTGGGGAGAAGTTGAAGGAGACTTGCTCATTCTGGAAGACTTCGACGAGGCCCTGATGGATAATGTGTGGAAGCAGCCCCCAGGGTTTCCTGTCGTCCAGAGCTGAGCCATTAGTGGGTGAAGAGAGGGAGAGAGACTCTAGACTCAAGCTCTAGAACTTGGGTCCATGCACTGTTCCCACTCCATACTGCAAGACAAGAACGGGGTGCAGGGTGCAGGAAGAGATCCCTGTGTGGACAAGGGGGGACAACCTGACCCAGGCAGGGAGGTCAACCCATTTGGCCACAGTGCTAGCTTTCCTGGTTGCCCTCTCTGTCCTCAGTGGACAGGGACCTCTGATGAGGCAGAAGCAGGGAAGAACAGACCTTGGCTTGGCAAAATTGCCTGATGATCCGCTTTTTTCACTTCCAGGGGCTGAAGGGGCCAGCGCTCCGAGAGGTAAGTGGGATCAGCTGAGATGCATGAGTGACTGGACACACACAGAAAGAGAGGAGAGGGGAGAGGGGGGAGGGAGCGAAGAGGGAGGGAGGGAGGGAGGGAGGGAGGGAGGGAGAATAGGAGAGATGCATGAGGCAGCAGAAAAGCCAGCCAGAAGTGGCTGAGCAGAACTTCCAGAAGGCAGTGGAAGAAGAGATCTCTCATATGATCCTCAAAATAGGACATGGTGGAAGCATCAGGGGCAAGTACCAGGATAGGGGACACCTTCCCTCCTGTACCACGACTGTCCCCCTGGTCCACCAGCCGTGTGGAAGACATGACATACAGCCATCCTTCAGGGACCCATGTGTCCAGATCTGGGATGGAAATCTCCCATGCTATTTCAACCTTCCTGACCCCAAGTTGGGTCTTGTCACCTTGACATAAGTGAGGGGACCAAGGTTCCCGGGAAGGCAGAACTAGTAAGGATTAGCCTATATCAAAACCAACTAGACTTGGGCCTCTGATCTGCCAATGTTCTGAGTAGCTCAGGAGCCAGAAAGGCCTGAAAACTGACAGGAAGTGAGAGCTGGCATGTGGGGTTGGGGAAGGAGTGGAAGCCATGGAACCAGACCCCTCCCCCAGAGAGTGACTCCATGTTTCTCCAGCCTGCGGGCACCCAAGGCTGTTCAATCGGATGGTAGGCGGGGAGGACGCCTTACAAGGTGAGTGGCCCTGGCAGGTCAGCATCCAGCGAAACGGGACCCACTTCTGTGGGGGCAGTCTCATCGCACCAACATGGGTCCTCACCGCTGCACACTGCTTCTCCAAGTAAGTGACCCTGGCCCTTTCTGCGTCTCACCAGTGGCTGAGACAAGACAGAGCTGTGCATGACTGTTCAGCACCGAGGACAGCACTGGCACGAACCCCCACAGTCTTGTCCAGTAACACCCAGTCTTTCAAAATTTTCCTTTAGGGAACTGCAGAGATGGCTCAGTGGTTAAGAGCACTGGCTGCTCTTGCAGAGGACCAGGGTTCAACTCCCCACACCCACGTGGTGGCTCACAACTGTCTACACTTCAAGTTCCGGGAAATCCAACACCCTCTTTTGGCTTTAGCAGGCTCCAAGCCTGTACATGGTTCACTGACGTACATGCAGGCAAAACATCATACACGTAGATATTTAAAATTTTCCTTTAGGTCCAACCCTAGGCCTTGAAGCTGTGACCATTGCTGCAGCTCTTGCTCCGCCCGTGATACCTGGGGTCCTGTCCCTACAAATGCTGCAGACACCCCCGACACACACCTCCCTCTCCCCATGCTCCCCCTACCTCAAATCCAGAACTCTCTGGCTCTTGGGTATCGGATAAGCCCAAGATTTGAAACACACTGTTCCTCTCCCTCACCCTCCCTAAGACCACCTAAGAAGACTCCCAACTCACACATCCATGTGAAACACATGGCCCTAGAATTTCAGGGTCCCCAAACATAGTTACCTCTTTCCTCATAGATCTGCAATTCTTTCCCCCCCTTTACTTATTGTGTGTTTGGGGGGTCATGTGTCATGGTGTGCATTTGGAGGTCAGAAGACAATTTTTGGGGTTTCTCCTTTCTTTCACCATGGGTTTTACTGATAAAACTCGGGTTTTTAGGGGCATAGGAACCACTTCTACCCGTGGAGCCATCTGGCCAGCCCCTGCAGTTATTTCCAAAAGTCCGTGTTTCACTTAGAAACTCGAGCTCAGAGGTGGCCCACCTAGGGCTCAGAGGCTTGGCCTCACTGTTCTCCATAGGTATATGCATATTACAACAGGTTTTTTGGATAGTGTCCCCATCTTACAAACGAGGAAACTGAATCACAGAGAACTTGTTAGGTCACTTACCAAGGTCACCTGGTAGCCAAGGAGAGCTGGGAATCCAAGGTGGGAGGTCTTCGGTTTCTACAGCCTTAAACATGGAGACGACATTGTTGACAGCACAGAGAAGTGTCAGATATTGCTGGGACCACAACCACCTACCCGTGGGCCCTCTCCTCACGGGGGAGGGCACTCACACCAGCTCTGCTCTTCCCATCAGCACTTCGGACATATCCATATACCAAGTCCTGCTGGGGGCACTGCAGCTCCAGCAGCCGGGACCACACGCCTTGTATGTCCGTGTGAAGCGGGTGGAAAGCAACCCCCAGTACCAAGGCATGGCCTCCAGTGCTGACGTGGCTCTGGTCGAGCTGCAGGTGCCTGTGACCTTTACCAATTACATCCTTCCTGTGTGTCTGCCGGACCCCTCCATCGTCTTTGAGTCGGGCATGAACTGCTGGGTCACTGGCTGGGGCAGCCCCAGTGAACAAGGTGAGGGGACTGAGCTAGGGGAAGACAGGGGATATGGCTTAAGAAAGGCCAGGCTGGTTTTCCTGTTGATACTGGTAGACATACATGATTGCTACTCACTTGGGTGGGGCAGGTATAAATGGAACAGGTGCTAAGGAGGGAGGGAACAGTCCCATCAAGTTCTGAGGAAACCCAGGGAGGGATGGAGCCAGCTGCGGTTCTTGAGGACCCAGCACGTCAGGGTCCTGGTTAAGACTGTCCACTGAGCTGCAGGCTTGCCTTCGCTCCCCAGACCGACTACCCAACCCACGGGTCCTGCAGAAGCTTGCTGTACCTATCATTGACACACCCAGGTGCAACCTGCTGTACAGCAGGGACACCGAGTCCGACTTCCAGCTCAAAACCATCAAGGATGACATGCTCTGCGCAGGGTTTGCAGAGGGCAAGAAGGACGCCTGTAAGGTGGGTGGTATGGCCAAGCCACTGGAGCAGGGGTTCTCAGCCATCCTAACGCTGTGACCCTTTAATACAGTTCCTCATGTGGTGACTCCCAATCACAAATTTTTCATTGCTACTAATAGCTGTAATTATGGTAGTTATGAAGCATAATGTAAGTATCTGATATGCAGGATGGTCTTAGGCGACCCCTGTGAAAGGATTCTTTGACTCCTAAAGGGGTCGCCACCCACAGGTTAAGAACCACTAGAGGGAGCTTAGCCCAGCTCGAGAGGTAGGCTGTGGTTCCATTACCTGAAATGAGATGAGCCAGTCTTGGCTCTGCATTTTGAACATACACCACACTGGGTGTATACCACAGACAGGCAAGCTGGGACATTACAGCAATGTGCAGGCTTGTCTGAGAGGACCGCTGGGGAAGTTCCTGGGAAGGGGCTGTGGTGAGCTCTGATGGCCCTCTGCTTCCCCACAGGGTGACTCTGGAGGCCCCCTGGTGTGCCTTGTGGACCAGTCCTGGGTGCAGGCTGGGGTGATCAGCTGGGGAGAAGGCTGTGCCCGCCGGAACCGCCCAGGCGTCTACATCCGTGTCACTTCCCATCACCAGTGGATCCACCAAATCATCCCAGAACTGAAGTTTCAGGGGAGGGCCAACAGCCCGCAGCAGCAAAGAGGCCCCCGAGGTTGGCAGCACTTGGAGAACTCTGCTCCCTGCCTGGCTGCCCATGCAGTCATGCTGGTCCTGATAACACTGCTCACCATCCTCTGAGCCTGCCCAGGCCAGGCAGGGGAGCCCTACCCACTGTACATTTGTAAATAGCTCGATCCCCCATCTTACATGCTAGTTACTTTTATTTATGTTCACTTCCAGAAAAAAAGAGCGTCATGGTCTAGGTGGGGATCCTTGCAGGGCTCTAGGGGCCAAACTTTGAGTTGGGAAGACTGAGAGGGCTTGGGTCCTGGTGAGAGGAGACCCTTGCAGGCACACCCAAGTAGGACGCTCCTGACCCAGTTTCCCTGTTTCCACCCCATGACTGTCTCACCACCTTGAATACCAATGCTTTTCCCATTCCTGCACTGTGGACGGTGACAGACACTGGTGGGAAGCAGGTCACAAGATGCCAAGTGCTTCAGGAGGGGCCATGCAGAAGAAGATGGGTGGAGGGACATACTGGGGGCACAGCCTCTTTCCCCAAACGCACACTTCTCTAACACCATCACACAAATCTGAGGGCCACCAAGAACCTGTGCATCCTCATAACACTTCCAGGGGGCAACCTGTACCTCATGTTCTTCCCTTGATCCCCGAGACTCCTTTTCTACTGATCCAGCCCCTAACCTTCAACTTCCCACTCTAGTGACACAGTGGGGGAGTGAAAGGGACAAGGCACACACAAACCATGCTCTGCTCACACCCAGTTACACGTGTATTCACGTGCATATCCATCCACATGCTCACACAGGCAAACCCGTCTTGCCTCAGGTAGACCAGGCACTGTTATGTACTAAATGGGTAACCATCGGGTGTGATGATGCTGATGCATGGCCTTTACTCTCAGCACTTGGGAGGCAGAGGCAGGGAGATCTCTATGAATTTGAGGCCAGCCTAGTTACCCTGAGTTCCAAGACAGACAGTGAGATCTATCTCAGAGAAGAAAATAAAATAAAACCCAGAATGGATCACTTAGCACTAGCTGTATACCAAACCAACATGAGGAACCCCTAGGGCTCCACTCCCCACTGGCCATTCAGTGACTTCTGTGGATGGGCTGTTTGCCGAGTGCCTTCTCTAGACCATACTGAGTGTCTGGTCTAAGAAGGGTTAGTTACTCTTCTACTCTATAGAAGAAAACTGGAGCCCAGACAAGGGGACAGGAGAAATTGTGGGGATGCTGAGGAAACCCCAAGGGCAAGCTCTGGGACATCATGGTTGCTAAGCATTGGCCTGAGGCTCACAGGCGTGGAAACCGACCCCAGCATCTTTGTGATTTGCCTTAGGAAGCATGGCTCTGTCCAAAGGTGCTGGGTGAGGCTGTTCCCACCCACGGATTCTGAAAGCCGCCACCCGGGCCTTGGCCCTTGTTCCTTTGTCTGGGCCTATGGGCACCAGCCAACCAGAGGTGTGGCCCTGCCCCAAGCAGCACCTTGGCAGGAGCCCAGGAAACAAGCTCTGCAGAACCGAGTAGCTGTGGACTCACTTCAGGATGTCCCCTCTCCTGCCCCAACTGCTCTTTTCACAGAATCAGCAGATCTGCCCGAGCTGTCCTCACAGCTGGCCGCCTGTCTGAGGCCAAGACTAAATGGCCTCCGTTTCTAGTTTTCTGCTCAGACATCCCATGTTCTAGGATGTGAGACAGGTCAGCACTAAGAGACCTCTCAGAACAGAGTCTAGACCCCCTCCCCCATCCATCCCCCTCCCCAATCCAGGGCTAGTCACAGAGTATCTCGTGGCCCAGACACCTGAGCGCTGTACAGGAGCCCCTTATCTCGACTTGGGCAACAGGACAGCCTTGTCTGTACCCTTGGGTCAGTGGGCCACCAACCTGGCTACACTGGCTACACAAAAGGACACAGGCTATACAAGGCTCAGGGAACAGTCTCTGGACAGCAGAGACAAAAACAAGCCCTCAGGGAACCAGGAAAAGGTTGCTTTCTACAAGAGCGAGGACATCATTCTGGTCTACCAAGACACACTGTGCGCAGGAGGAACAGCACTTCTCCACACTTCAAGACATTAACAGTTGCTGAACGCATTCATAAATACACAATTTTATTTACTATTTTCAGGGGAAACTTAGGCATTAAACGATAAGCTGATAAAATACGGATACCTAAAAAAGTATAAAAGTATAAATATCCCCTTAGAATTTTAGTGAATTAAGTTTTAATATCATTAAATTAAAAAACAAAAACAAAACCCCCCACAAGTCTATCTACTGTCAAAGTCATAAACCAAACAATGCTAAGTATCCAGCAACTCCCCAGAGTATTCCCCATGGCCAACAGCAGAGCCACTGCCCCCAGGGCTGCTGAGGCCCAATCAACCCAATAGAAAGGTTTTTATGAATCATTTAAGCCAAACATTTAACAACATACAACAGACCTTAGGAAAGGACGAGGTCAGTCCTAGATGCTAGAGAACTTGATTCATCAGTTCCTGGCAGAGGAGAAGGAAGAGGGCCTAGGCAAGAAGTTTCCGGAAGCATCTGAAACAGTGTTAGAGGCTGACTAGCACACGGGCAGCCACGGCGGTCAGTGCACACAGCTCCCTTGAGAAGCCAGGGGTCAAGAAGCACAGAGCTTGCTTGCTTGGGTCAAGTCTGTGGCCTGCTACATCCCTAAGCAGCTGAGAAAGATGGGTTTCCAAGGCAGCAGGCGCAGCCTCTGCAGGGACCTCAGCAGCTCCAATGTCGTGCCAGGTGAGGAGAACCCATGCAGGCTGTACGGTCTCAAACACTCCCGAAACCCAAGAGAAGAACTGCATAGTTGGACAAGGAAATGAGAGCCGGGGAGGAGACGGGTTTGCGCTGTAAACATCCTGAATGTTCAACATGACCTGGAGTGTCAGCTCCAGAAGCCAGGTGGACAGGCCTCCTGCCCCAGCCTCCATCCCAGGCACAACAAAGGCACTGGTAGGCGCCAGCTCCCCCATGAGCCCACAGGTGGGCATGTGAGGCAAAACATCTACCTCCCTCAAATGATTTAACAGATCAATCCAAATGTAGCAACACTTTTAGGCATTTCTAAAGAGTATAAACACCGGGTGGTCTATCCACACTTTAAAAAAGGGATACAAAGTCCTCTTGCCTGGAAAATACAAATTGAGAAGCCTTGATGATCCTGGGCCAAGCCTATAGGCCATTACAAGAGCCTGCCTCTGAAAGGGTGCAGTCCAGGGGAGGTGCCCAGAAGTAGTGATAATGTGGAGGCTGCCTTTGTCAGGAGCCTCAGCAGAGGTCAAGAGAAACCAACCAATCATGCCTGGAGGCACAGCAGCCTCCCTGACCCAAGGATGAGGGCCTGGTGCTCAACCAGAGATGAGCCACGCCCTAAGCCACAGTGCATTGGACAGGAGTTGTGGCAGCTGCCCCTCCCTCCTGGCAAGGCCCAGGCTGCTTGTTGCAGACTGTGTGTAGCACCAAGGACCTTGTCCTTCAGATCATCTTCAGGAATGCGTGGGCTGGTCAGCAGCATTCAGTCCCACGGAGCACTCGGAAAGAACAGAGTGAGGCCACAGAGACTGCCAACCCAGCCCCAGCTGCCTCCCTGTGGGGACGACTGGCGTGACAGCTGTGCTGTCTCTCGCCACCCACATCTGAGGCAAAAAAGGATCCACACCCAGATCTCTAGAGAAATGATCAAAAGCAGGTTTCTTCTCACAGCCATGCTTTCTGCACATGGCGGTTCACTTTGTCTTGGGGAAAAGAAAATCATTTCTTCAGCTGTCAGTACTCCTCACATCCTTGAGCCCCGTTCTTGCAAAATCTGAAAAATATGAAACACAGAGTGAGGATGTAGGCCCTGACCAAGCGCCCTGTTCAAAGAGCAGAGTTCAAAGGCACCCTCACTTCAGGCCAGGACCTCAGCTAGATAACAGGGAGGCTTGTACAGTGAGGGGCTGACATGAACCTCCAGATCCCCTCATGTCCAGCAGATCAACCCCATACCCTTTCCATTTATGAGAAGGTCTGCACCCCTTCACTGGCCCCAGCCCTCTGCCTGACCGCAGAAACCCTTCCAAGCAAGGTCATGCTGGAGGCCTCCAGATCCAGTCTGCTCGCCGCAGCATCTGCTGCCTCCTCACCCTCTGCTCCCACTTTGGCTGAAAAGCAGGGCACTGGCTGCCCAGCCTCCTTAACTAGTACACCGCAGTCAGCTGTAGACTCAGCTGGGACGGAAGTCCCTGGCGGCCTTCAAAACATGCTGGGGCTGGGCACATGCTGCTGAACCAAACCCAGAAAATGAGCCTCTAGTCGCCTCTAGGGCTAGGATAGGACATGACTCCAGGCAGAGCTTCAGAGCAGAGGAACCTCACAGGAAGCCATTTGGCATCGACTGCCACTGTGAGCAACCCCACTGGTCTGGTGCCATGGGAAGAGCTGGCTCTGGGAGGCTATGATGAAGGGCTCAAGAGAAGGCCAAGTTCTCTCAAGCTGCTCCTGCAAACCCACCAGCACCCCAAACACCATGCCTGCCCCTAGGCCAGCCCCACGAAGAGTTGTGGGAGGCCGAAATCACCACTCTAGCACCTCAAGGGGGAGCTTCACAGGTCTATGAGATAATGCTGTTCCCTAGTCTGCCAATGGCAAGCTCCACTCGGTGGACAATTTCTGAATTCTCCAGGACATCTGGAGGTGACTCTAGGTGCCACCATCTTACTAGGGAGCCAAGGTCTCAGTCCCCACCAGCCCTGAGCAGAGCAGAGCCAGCATAGGTGAGGGTGTGGTTGGCAGAAGTGGTCATGGGAGTGACTCTCCAGAACAGTATGAAATCCTGAAGGGCTGGAGCTGAGCTCGTCAGGACCTACAGCAGCAAGACCAGCATCCTACACGCTGAGGCCAGGCAGCACTGACTGTCTGGGGTAGTGCAAGACTACCTTATGCATGTTCCTGCCTTTCCCAGGGAGGCCCAGCCACGTGGTTTCATCCTGCGATGTGGTGTCGCTCCAGGTTTGCCTTGTGGACACCACTATTTTGTTTCCACAAGCCCAGAATCCCAGAGCTAGAGCCATCAAAACACGTTCCCTAAAGACTCCAAGAAGTCTGGGGCCACTGAA